TCTGCGTGGAGCACTGGGTGTTATGCACAAACAATGAATCATGGAACACTACATCAAAAACTAATGATGTAATGTGTGGTGATTGACATAACAATAAAAATTATTTAAAAAAAAAAAGAATCTTGAATCATCGATTCTTAACCCGTACCATCATCCTCGTTATACCAATGCACACAAGTAGATTTTAAGGTAAATAAAATGTGACAAGACCAGGTTTCTGTCTTTTTTTTTTTTTTTTTGGTAATTCTTCGAGGTGACAAGGTAGAAAGAGAAGAAACAGGTCTAAGAAATAGCCCTTTGGTTATTGAGAAACCCCTTTCTTCTGTGAATGTATGTTAGTCTCTTAAGGAATATTGCACTGTACTAGGCAAATCGAGAAATGCCAAAAAGGATTGCCTTCCATAGTATCCAGCCGCTTACGAAGCAGTCGGGAAAAGCAAAAGCATTTACGGAAGAAAATACATAATTGAAGTGGCAGTGACATCCTGGGGAGGTCAAGAGAAGTCTTAGTGAAGTGGGGCTTATACCCTGAAAGATGGATAAAACCTGATTGCATAGAAAAAAGAGCAAGAACATTCCAGAAACAGAAAAAAGAAGAAGAACATTCCATAAAAAGGCCACCCCTTGTGGCTTCAAGCCTAGGGGCATAACACAATGATAGCAATAATTCACAAATATTACATCGGCAACAGTGTTCATAGCAGAATTGAGTGGGGGAAAGTCTGGAGGTAGGAGAGGAGAAACCATGTAGGAAGTTGTCACCATTCACCCACTCACCCAACCATCCACCCATCCTTCCTTCCAACCGTCCATTTATTCCAACAGGCATGGAGGTATATTTGATAAGCTGGGCATGAGATAAGAGCTCAATAGCAAGAAGAGGAAGGAAAGAATATAAACACTGCAAATGAAGAATAAGAGATGAATTTCGAGTTTTCAAACTTTAGATGACCGTAAGTAGGGTGGTGTGACTAATGGAAACCGAAGTTGGGATGAAGAGCTGTTCTGGAAGAAGGCGAGTTATTAGCATGGCACCTTTGCCATCTACAAGCAGGGCTGTCACTCGTTAGAATTCCTGCAATTCAGGGACAAAAAGAAGCTCTCTAAATGGGAGGGATTTAAGGTAGGAAATAGAGATGAGACTAGATACAAGTAGGGTCTGTGTCAATCTGAGACCTCAGGAATGAAGGAAAGGCTCTTCCCTGCTGATGACATTATCATCTAACTCAGGGGCCACCTATTCCATCTCCGGCTCATTACTCCAGTGGTACTTGTAACAAAATGGACATCTGGCATCTGCTTGAAATTTTCCAGGGACTGTGAGCTCATAAGCTCCCAAGGCAGCTCTGTTACCTTTTCAGACAGGTCTGTTAGGAAGTTTTCTTACTAAGTAGGACTGAAATCTACATTGCTCTGTGTAGGTGTACCATGGTATAATTATAATCGTTTTTCCATATGAAAACCCTTAGAAATTGCAAGCAGTGATTATAATCAGCCAAGTCTCTTCGTCTGACACATTTCATGCGCCCGGGTCAGAGCCACAATCTACGAAGGGTCAGTTTCTCAAGTCCCAGACCATCTGATCCCATGACTCACCGGGAAGCCCAGGGAGGCCTTGTTGCCCTGGTAATCCATCAATTCCTTGATCTCCAGGAAGCCCACGAGGTCCAGGAGAGCCCGGCAGCCCAATTCCTGGGGGGCCGGTTGGACCACTGTGGCCCTTTTCACCAGGAAGTCCTGGTAACCCCTTTTCACCTGGGAAGCCCTGTCCACCGTCACCCTAGACAACACAGAAGAAAAAAGGAAAGCCCAACTGAAAGACGGATCAGGAGAGGCTTCTGACCATAAGAAAGAGGCAACCAGTGTGGTCATTTGGCTAAAATCCTCGATCCCTCTAGTTTCTCAATCAATTCCTCTGATTTGGTTAATGGGAATGAAGCTAGTCAACCCTCGGAGATTTGATGATGCAAAACCTTCTAGATCAGTGGTGGGGAGGGGGACAGGAAACAGGAGCAGGGTAACAGTGCTTGGGGGCCCAGAAAGCAGCTGGATTACTTGCGGGGGGCGGGGGGAAGTTACTGAGAAGCTGAAGCATTTTAAGCGATAGGGTCGATAGTTACGAGCATTTATCAACTGAGACAATGACCCACGCCCAGGAAAAGACTCTCATCTTACCTAAAGGAGAAGCACAGAGCAGAAAGTGTTAGTGGCAGAAGCCAGAAGAGATGCTGGGCACTCTGTTCTGCCCTGTCTCATGGTCTAGTGGCCGTCAGAACCCCCACCCCCAAAGTCAGCCGTGAGGCTTTATAGAGCTCAACACCCAGGAACGATCAACTTACCGGGAGGCCTGGCAGACCTGGCAAACCTGGTATTCCTTCCTTGCCTGGGGCTCCGGTCTCCCCAGGGAGCCCCTGGGGGCCAGGATCACCCTGCTCCCCCGGCACCCCTGATCCTGAACTGAGAGTTGGTTCCCCTTTCTCTCCTTTGGGGCCCGCAGGACCAGGAGGCCCAAATAAACCCTGACAAAGAGAGAAAAGGGCAGAATCAGGAGATGCAGACATGGTAGGACTCTGGCACTTAGCCTAGGTCTGACCTGGAGCAGATCCTCGGGTACCTTTTGGCACTGCTCTGGGCACTTGAATATGTCATCATCTTGGGTCACAATTGCCCATTTATTTTCTTACCTTTCTCAAAGTTGAAACTTTTGAGGATGGTAACCTTGTCTTAGTTTGATTTTATCTTCAGGGCCCTGGGGTGGTGCTAAGCAAATACAAATGATTTTGTGGAAGGAAGGGATTAAGGGAGGGAGGGATGGAGGGAACATAGGCAGGTCATTGCACAAGGGGACTTTGGACATCATCTGGTCTGACTTTTTCATACTACAGATCCGAACCATGAAGCTTTGTTTTATCCCCATCTCTCTTTCCTGTGTTTTAGAAAAGTGCTTGGGGCAGGAGTAAGGGACCCTGGAGAGCTCCCAGTCCTCCCTCGGGGCCAAGGTTGGGTAAGACTTACTGGAGTCCCTGATGGGCCCTGTGCACCCCCAGAGCCTGGATCTCCTCTGGTTCCTTTAAGGCCTGGAAGGCCTATGAGGCCAGGTGGCCCAGGCAGGCCTGGCTCCCCAGGTGGTCCGGTGTTTGGGACACCACCGTCACAGGCACAAAAGCCCGAGTCCCCTGAGGGAAAAAGAAGACAATGGTTAAACAAAGTGGGCCACCTTTCCAAGAAAAAGGATGATATGACCGTGGTGATCTGTGCCTTGAACAACCCCATGGAGGGAATCAGAAGGCCTGGTAACAGGTATCAGGAAGTACCCTAGCTCTGTAGGTGAGGCAAGAAAGGGCTCAGGCTCACATCCTATGTCAAAGCTTGCAATTCCCTTCCTTTTCCCTCCAAATAGTCCTCCTTGGAGCTGAACAACAGAGATGAAACTTGTAAAAAAAAACTTCCAAACGAGCTCCGCTAATAAGCAGTGACATGTTAGGAGGCGGCACTGAGAAAGGGGACGAGGAAGTGAAGGCCATTCTGCTTGAGGTCGAGGAGAGCTGCTCATTCTGCGAGAGAAGAGGAAAGATCTCAGATACTTGAAACCCCTCGGCAATCCCCAAACCTCTCCTCGGCCAGCAGTCTCACCTCTTCCTCCACCTTGGCCTGGGCTGCAACTAAAATGAATTGATTTATTTGCACTTTAGCATCTGGCCCTCAAGAGCGTGCAACAGAGGAATGACCCAGAGGCCGCAGGATGATGGATGGAGCCATGCCGCCGAAGGCTGTGCTCATCGGTCAGCCCTTCACCATCAGTGGGGACCCAAGGTTGTTTTCCTGGGGCCTGTTGGCTTTTCTGGAGTGCCAGGTCTTGACCTGTTCAGACTCCTTTCCTTCAGGCTGAAGGTAATGATATGTGACTTCTGGCCTTTGGCCTTGCGCACTGGGAAGGGGTGCAGCGTGGGCTGGCTAGTAGCTGGGGCTGCTGGCCACAGCTTCTGCTGGTGGATGGGGTAGAAAGAGGAAGAGGAGCCCACGAGCCACTTCGTCCCATGTGACCTCAATTGCTAGCCTCAGTCTCCGAGCCCTAAATGTGGAGCACTGCCAAGAATCCTATAATCAAATCCCTGATCAAGGCCCCCAGCTGCTTCTGTTCAGGTTCCCAAAGCTGTTGGTCTACTCATGCCCCAGAAACCTTCTGCAAGGATTTTGGGGGAACACAGAAACCCAAGGCGACAAAAAAAATCACCTTTCATTCCTTTGATGCCTGGGTTTCCTTTTGGACCTCGTTCTCCTCGGAGACCAGGGAAGCCTGGCTCTGCGTTCTGGAGGGTTCCAGTCTCAAATGCTGGACCTTCAGGGAAAGGGAAACATCAAAGATAGGCGCATCACACATGACTAAGCACAGCAGCTCGGTTGCTAAGGTCTGTGTCCTTGAGGCTCAGCAACCAAAGCAGAGACAGGGACCCAACGTCTGTGGCAAATCTTCTCCCCTGGTGGCCCTCATCACTCTACTATGAGTTACAGAAGGGCTACTATGTTCCAGGCACCGGACTAGACACTGAGGGGACAGGAATGACCAAGACAGCTTCAGTAAGTCAGCGGTCCTAATGTCTACCCCAGAAAGTGCTCTTGGGACAACAGAGGAAATGGCGTTCCTGGGGTTTAGATGACAACGGCACTTCTTGGGGTTTAGGTGACAACGAAACATGCTGGGCCTGTGTCCAGCCTTTCTCTTAGAATCTAGGGTCCCATGCTCAGGTAGAAGACATAAGGAGAATAAACCCTGTCGAGGCTTTGGGCAACTGTCTTGAGGATCCAGGCTTGGCTTCCCATGTCTCAGGCTCCTATCCCCACCCCACTACAGCCCTGAGGACCAGGGGAAGCTTGAGAGAGCCAACGTTGCTTCTTCACGAGCTGTGAGACCAGAGGTAGAGGGGTTGAGAACAACGGAGGGTGGGATGAAATGACTACACAAACTGGAAGGCATTAGGTAGCGTCTGGGCATCGAGGTGGCCTTAGCTTGCTTGCTCCTTGATGAGGCTCTGACCGTTCTGGTCGTTAACCTCTAGCAGCAAGGCTCTGACTCAGGAGCATCATGTGTCCCGGCTATTTCTCCTGTGAAATGCTCTCTCCCTCAAGAATCACAACTGTTCTGCAGTCCCAATCACACCTGAGTCTCAAGACCAAAGAGGGAAATGAACGACTTACCGGGTGGGCCCAGTAGGCCGGGCAGGCCTGGCAAACCGTCTCTGCCAGGGGGACCAGCTGTCCCAACTGTGGTGCGGCCTGGGTTTCCTTGGTCCCCCTTCAGACCTGGAACTCCTTGGGGCCCTAGCGCACCTGGGACACCTGGAAGGATAAGCCCACACAGTAATGCTAATCACATCATCTTATTCTTCCAGGGGTGTTCCAATCAGCGGCATATGCTGGAAACTCCGTCCAAGGGAAGAATTTGGGAGACAATTTGCCCTTCTCTTGCATCAGAGTTAGAAAGGTCCTTAGGAACCATCTAGCCCAACCTCCTAGGAAGTTGAGGCCAAAGGACATGGGGAAACATGGTCAAGGGTGCAGAGCTTTTTGGTGGAGAACCTGAGCGGAAAACCTGGTGTCCAGTCTCCTCCTTTTTGATTTTTCAACCTCGGTGGTGGGATCAGCTGTACCCCTTCCAAGTGGTTGCTTTCAAAGCACAGGGATCCTTCCAGATGCCCATCTCCAAGGAACTTAGAAACTTACGCCTTTCAAAGTCCTGTCTGAAGCTTTATATTTGGCTCATCACGGCCTCTGAGAATCTGGCATGGCCTTTCTCTATTCACTACTACAGAATGACATATGGGTGTGCTCCTCCAATGGTGGGTTCAGTCACAGGCTCCTGGGCCATTTAGTGCCTGAAGTAAGCACAGAGTGAGGGTCCGGGTATAAAACTCTCCTCTAGGCTTCTGTAAGCCCCTGCTGGCAAGCATCAGCTGGGATGGCAAACCCATAGAAGAGTGATAGGGTTCCAGCAGTCCAACGCCAGCCCCCTCTAGTTGCTGCAAACCCCAAAAGGATTGCCTGTCTAGCAACACCACATCATTCAGGCCAAAGGAAAGCTGCTCGCCCAGGTCCTATCCTCATATACATTAGCCTTGGGCTGGTGGTGGGGGACTTAGTGACTATAGTCTACCTTTCCTTTGACTTTGGCTAGTAGGTACCCAGACCAGACAGGGGTATAGAAGGGGATGCTGGGCACCAGCATGTCTATGTAGGGAGTGGGTTAGTTTGTTTCACCTGGTAAAGCCAGTAAGCCGGGGATGCCAGAAGGGCCAGGCAGGCCCTGGATACCTTCGTCTCCTTTAAGTCCTGGGAGGCCTGGCATCCCGGGGTCTCCAGGATAACCTGGCATTGCGATGAAAAAAAAAAAAAAAAGCAGTAAGCAAACCCAGAAGAGGCCCACAAATGCCACAGAATGCCTAAGAAGGGTTGCAAGGAGATGTCCTCAGGGTAGAAGTCTCTTTCTTGCCCTTCACAGGTCTCCCAGATGCTGATGGCCCCGTGTGATCACGGGCTGACTGGAGCTAAGGCTCCACTAGTGTTCAGAACCGGTCTGGCCAGGGCTAACATTCCATGGTAAGATCTGGTAAGTACTAGGAAGGTTCTTCTACTACTGTTAACCTGCTGTCATGCCTCAAGTATCTACCATTTGGATTAAGGTGTTGAAGTCTACTATTCATGTTATGCCCATAGGTTTCCAGGAAGCCACTGTCAATCATTAACATCTTGGCTTCAATGAGTTTACTGGACAGGGCATGGGCCAGAGAGGATGAGAGGGGAGAAGTAATTTCAGAGACCGAGGCAGAAGAGGTACAGTAGTAGAAGCCTTTGCTCAAGCAAGCAGTCACTGGAGATACACTGGAGAAGGCAATGGGAACAGGTGGATACTTTCCCACCTCCTATGCGATTGTCAAACCCAAACACACATGGGATCATGCATATGAGACCCCAAGTGTCCCACAGTATCAGGCTAAAGTCAGCCTAGCTGGGGAGGATATCAATCCTGCCCTAAGCATCATTAGGAGAACAACTTTCAGCAAGTCCAGGCCCAGTCCGACCAAAACCCTAGTCTTGGTGGACCCAGCACAAACACGGAGTGTAGGCCTTGGCTTCCTTGCCCGAAGACATTGGAGTTAGCTTCATTCCCCAAGTACAGGACCCATGAGGGGCCCTTGAGGGCGTTGGCTTCAGCAACAATCCAGTGGCTGACAAAGTATCCTCTTAACAATTATAGGGACTACAGAATGTCACCCCTGGTCCTTTCTTTTTCACTCCAGTCAATGAAAAGTTGCACCTGAGATCACAGCACCATCTGTATCGATGAAAACATCTGGGCCTGGCAGGCCAATGCCACCCTTTTCACCCTGTAAAGATTCAACTGGTTAAACACATTCCCATGACCTTATCACTCAAGCTCTATGTGCCCTCAAAGCCATTCCCTGGGAAAATGAAAGCTTTCTCCTTCTGCAACCCCTGATTCCCAGGGCCAACTAGTGCACAGGTTAATTATGAAGTCCAATAAATTTCAGATGAAGGTAACGCAAAGCAGGTCAGGAGTCCAACACTCAATTTGCAAACCTGTCAAAAATAAGGGATCCCAATTTTATTTTGCAACCTGACTCCTGGATCATCTGCTTCTGGGCCTGGGACATAGGTCCCAAGAGTAGACAATGTTGCTGCACCAAAGAGGTGCAAAGGAAGGGGCAGTTTCAACTTTTTTTTCCCACTGTAAGCTGGCCCAGGACTCTGCTACCGTCACTGGCCTCGTTAGTGGATGATTTCAGGCAGAGGAAGTCAAAGGAGTCCTAAGTCCCCCAAAAGGGGGATTCAGGTATCAGAATCAGATACAGTGGCTTATCCCAGTGGGGTGGTGGGAGCTGCCTGCCCCCGGAACAGGTGATAAGGGGATGCATTCTCTGTAGACAACTTAAAAACAATCATAAAACTGGGGTGCCTGGGTGGCTCAGTCGGTTAAGCGTTTGCCTTCGGCTCAGGTCAGGGTCCCGGGGTCCTGGGATCGAGCCCCACATTGGACTCCCTGCTCAGCGGGGAGCCTGCTTCTCCCTCTCCCACTCCCCCTGCTTGTGCTCCCTCTCTCGCTGTGTCTCTCTCTGTCAAATAAATAAATAAAATCTTAAAAAAAATCATAAAACCAAAAATTTGGCAATTCTAAGCAGTGTCAATAGTAGAATATTCCTCCTTGGAGAGATGGATTTGCTCCTGCAGCCCTCCCCCCTACCTCCCCCACTTTAGTCTACCTCTGATCAAGTAGTATCTAAGGAAGGCTCATTGGCTTTGTGTACTCAAAGTAGGGTTCACGCACTTCATGTGAAAAGAGTAACATTTACAATGTTAAAATACCGAAAGAATACCTCATCTCATAGGTAGGCATTCACTATGGTCCAGGTGTTTGCATCCCCCCTGCCCCCGATTCATTCTGAAAACCGAATGCCCGAAGTGATGGTGCTAGGAGGTAGGGCCTTTGGGAGGGGATCAGGTCATGAGTGCGGAGCCCCCACGATTGGGACTAGTGCCCTTATAAGAGGAGGCCAAGAGAGCTAGCTTGCCTCTTCCACCATGTGAAGACACAGTGAGAAGTAAGTGACCTGGAAGGGGACCCTCACTCATGCTGGCATCCTGATCTCGGGCTTCCGGCCTCCAGGACTGTGAGGAATAATTTTCTATTTTTTTTTTATAAGCCACCCTGTCTGTGATAGTTTCTTAGAGTGGCCAAATGGACTAAAGCGCATTTATGGGAATTCTTCACCCTTCCACCACCCCAATCCTGGATTTTCACTTCGCAGCAACATTACCTTAATTCCTGGGAATCCATTAAGCCCAGGGAAACCTGAGGACCCCTTCTTGCCCTGTGACAGAAACACAGTTACAACTAGTCAAATGTCTAAGAACATAGGAGGGACTGGTCTTTGGACGAGGCCAGGGCAAATGGCACAGGAATCTTGGCTGGCCTTCCAGGGTATGCATGGATTCTACCCCACTTGGGAGGGTATACAATGTTCCAGAAGGCAATATGGCATGAGGTAGCCAACGCGCCTGTTAGGAGGTATATGGGCCCCAAAGCTAGGGATGGCAAGCAGGCTGGCCTCTCTAGCCCCTGATTACAAAATAACGAAGTAGGACCATAGCATGGCACTGGATTGGTCAACCCTGGATACTCAGACAAAAGAAGAGAGCGGCTGAGATTATACCCATCAAAGGGAGGTGGACAATTTGTATTATAAGCAGTGGCTCCCTCTGGACCGATGGCCATGTTAACTAAAGCAAGGGGGCCTTTTGATTAAGACTTTACATGTGGGCTTTTAGTGATATTAACCAAAATACCTGACTCCCTGGAGGGCCTTGGCGTCCTTCTAAACCCATTGGACCCTGTAAAGAGAATGGAGCCACCTTAGAAAGATTAATAGCCCACACTAGAAAAAGCCAATAGACTTACGTAACAAAGCTTTCCCACTGAGTTCAGGACTTAGCCAGTTCCTAAAATCAGGTAAGAGAATGTCCCTAGACCTGGCTTAATGACTTTTTTCTAAGCACTAATCCATCAGGCTGAATAGTCACACAGAGCATTTTTAAAAAGCAAAATAAATGGAAACATTTTAAGTACTGGGTGGAATTTGGTAGAAAGGCTGGGTGGTATTATACTTAGTCTGCATTAGTTCCAAGTCATGACATTTTTAAATAGATTGTGGGAGGGCCTCTTGTCTCTCACCCCAACTGCATTCTTTGCTGGTGATTATGTCTTTTCAAGACAAGGGAGTAGAGAAAAGTAGAGAAATAAATGGCAGGGTAAAGGGCAAACATTGCTGAACACTCAAAGGATTCTTAACGAGCTTTATGACTAAGCCAAAATCACAGTTCTCTAAATGTTACCTCTTTAAGGCTAAGGTTGGCCAATTGCTTATAGTCTAACACCTAAGTGCCCGAAGCACTTAGAATAACAAAAGCTAACAATTATTTCTGCACTTGAAGAGGGGTTATTACTAGAAATTGTTGACTGCAAATGTCATTTGCTATGTTCTAGACCATCCCAGACTTGTTTCTGTCCTATAAAGATTATACTTGGCCCTCTTCCATTACTACAACATCCACACCCTAGCCCACGTTCCCCCAGGATAGAAGGTAGTGAAGGCAAGACAACGCTCACCCCATTATTAGCCCAGATGACAATTCTCTATGACAACAAGGAAAAGAAGTTGGCTGAGGAGCCATTCCTTATTCAAGGGAGCCACTAAGTCAAGGAAATGGGGGCAAAGTGAAAAGGAGGAGGTCTCAGGGACCTGGCAGAGGGCTGAGGAAGAAAAATAAGAGAAGCTTCGGTGGCCATCAAGTTATACAACATAAAGATGTGAACAGGCCAAAAAATGGACCCGACGGACCGGATAACCTGACAGACCAGGGCAAGCAACATTCCAGGTTCATACCCTAGGTCCTGGCAAACCAGGGATTCCCTTTTCTCCCTTTTCTCCAGCAGTTCCAAATCCCTACAGGAAAAAAAAAAAAAAAGAAACCACAAGTTATAACATCCATTTCCTGATAGGTCTCCTGGCTCCATCCAAAGCAGGGAGCTAACTTCGAATCAAGGCCATTGCCATTGCCATTGCCATCGGGGAGGCTCACCATGCTGAGTCTCTTGTCACTGCCTGAGAAGCCCATAGGGCCTTCAAAGAGTTTGGACCATTCATTCAAGGTTCCCTCTTGGTTTTAGAAGTAATGTCTTGTCCCCCTGAACATGATTGCATGTCTTCACAGCTACATGGACTAACAGCATAGAAATGATTAGATATCTGACTTCATTGGTTTGACAGATGGGGAGACTAATACTCAGAACAGTACAGCATCTTGTATGGGATACAGAATGGATGAGCCAGCCAGGTCTTCAAACTTCCATTCCAGGACCCTTTGTATGAGAAACAGGCTGTTTTCTACCACCTAGGAGCTTGTTTCTTTGACCCATAAATGGAGAATTGTGTTAATCCTTGGGAGTCAATACTAGTGGGAAGAACTTTTGCCATTTGAAGCCATGATGGCTGCATCATCCTCTTCGATGGGAAGGATTATTTCTATCTAGGTGTGATCTAGACCCCTGCGGGCCCTAGCAGTACTCCAAAGGGCACTATGAGACGGTCTTCAACCCCTCTTGCCCTGATCAAAGGAGGTGAGGGCTTGCAGCCATGGACATGACTTGGGGACTCTCTAGGGACAAGCAGAAATTCAAAAAACAGTGAGTGAGAAAGCTTCCTTCCCTCTGGGTCCAAGGCAAGCACATTCTGGGCCCTTGAAGTACAGAAGAGTTCACTACCAAAGTGGATAACGTCTTTCATGGCCATTTTGTTGTTATTGTTTAAACGTGGAATTTCTGGAGCATAGGTTTTGGCAAACAACTTTTAGGCCTATTGTAAGAGTGGAGGAGGCAGGGACGCTTTCTTGAATGTAAGCTTGTGAAACACAGTAAATGTTGTGGCATGTCTCCTGTCATCTCTTCCTCTTATATACTCAGAGCATTCCCATGGGTACTGAAAGCTGGCTGAATAGCCCTTAGCTTTCTAGGCCCAAGTGGGGATTTTTGGTTGTTGTTATTGTTTTTAATGTAGGGCTTTTTTGTGTGTGTGGCTTTTTTTGTGTGGGGTGGAGGGTGGAGTGTGCGTCTGTGAAGGGTCTAGTTCAAAGCTGATTTTGGTTCCCGCTTGTCTTTCTTTTCTTCTCCATCTCTAGTTCTGTGGCACATGGCTCAGACCTCATGCTGAATAGGATTTCTATTTGAAAGGGTCAAGTTGAACACAAACTTATTTGAAATCATAGTGCTGCATCTCAAATTGGAAACCAAGGCATGCTGCTGCCCGGTGGAACACGTCTCCGGGCCTCCGAAGCCAAGCACCGTGACCTGTCCATGGAAGCTGTGGCAGCCCGCACTGCCCCAGACTCTGAACAGCACTAAGATGGGTTATGTAGGAGAGTTGGTAAGCAGGAAGTCTATACCACACTCTCTTCCATCTCCTCCAAGACACGCTACTGCACGCTACACCATACAAGGTCATCCCATACATCCTTGTTGAATTCAGTAGAATGACTCAGAGAACAAAGCAAAAGGTGAAGCATATCCAGGAACTCTCTCATGCTTAGAGCACTAGCTTAGTTGTTCCTAGGCCTACTGGCTAGGGCCCTGGTCTCCCGCTATTTTTGGTTCAAGGATATTAGCAGTTCTGCAAAAACTCAACTTCAGTCATGTGGCCAGGAGTAAGGTGGGGGAGGTAACATAGTCACTGAGGCAGGGGTGAGGTGGGTGGTACGAGGAGCAGGCGAGCCTCGAACACTAGGCTGGAGCTAGAGGGTGTCAGCCCCGCGGCCCAGTCCTCAGAGGCATGCTCGTCCGAGAGGCAGGCCACCTTGCAGCCACCCTCTGCTCAAGCTTCTCCCCCCACCTACCCCAAGCAGGCTCCCCAGGGCCCCAGCCGAGCCAGCGGAGATGGCTAGACCCACCTGCACAACTAGGGCAGTTTCTCGAACTGGGAAAGGGGGAGCGAGGCCACAGGGGAGCCTGGATGGGGCTCAATCTCACGACCACAGGGGAGCCTGGATGGGGCTCAATCTCATGACCGTAAGATTGCAACCCTGAGCTGAAACCAAGAGTCAGACGCTGAACTGAGTCACCCAGGTGCCCGGTAACTATGCTTTTAAAAAGTTCTTATCTCTTAGAAATACTGAAGTCTTTTATGTTGAAATAAGTCTGTTATTTGCTTCAGCTTGGCTGAGGTGCTAAATGTCAAAGCTGAGTGATGAGTACACAGCAGGAGCATTATGCCGTTCTCTCTTCCTGGTATTTGCTTAACATGCTCCATAATAACAAGTTTACATTATTTTTTTTACATTTTCAATCCATGCACTTCTCTCCATTTTCATTGCTATCACCCTAGAGCAAACTGCCCCCATCTCTCCCCCGGACTGATGTAGTGGCCTCTGTTTGCTGCCTCAGCCTCCCATTATCCTCCACATCCCCACCCCCAGCCCCTGCCAGAGTGATCTTCTTAAAAATGCAAGGTAGAGGGGCACCTGGGTGGCTCGGTCTGTTCAGCGCCGGACTCTTCGTTTCGGCTCCGGTCATGATCTCAGGGTCTTGAGATCAAGCCCTGCGTCTGACTCCATGCTCAGTGGGGAGTCTGCTTGAGATTCTCTCCCTCTCCCTCTGCCCGCCCCCCGCTCGCACTCTCTCTCCCTCTCTCTAAAATAAGTAAATAAATCTTTAATAAAAATGCAAGCTAGAGCCTTCTGACGGCTTCCCATTCCATTTAACATAAAAGCACATTCGACCTACAAAGGGCTCCATGATCTGGCTCTTGCCCTTGCTCACCCCACTCCACCCACTTGCTTTCTTGCTTTTGCTCAAAAGCAGTGAACTTTTTCCAACTTCAGGGTCTTGGCACTTGCGTTTCCTTTGGCCAAAAACGCTCTTCCTGATCCTCGTGGGACTTGCTTCTTCATAATGTGCATTTCCTCAGAGAGGCCCTTCATGACCGCTCTGCCCAAAGTAGCCCACCCCATTCTCACGCCACACTCCATCACTTTACCCTTTCTTTAACCTTCTATGTTTCACTTATTATGATAAGAACTTGTTCTTGCTTCATTTGTTTACTTGTTTTTGTCTCCTTCCCTCACTCCCCCATTAGAATGAACTCTCCTCAAGGACAAGAACTTTTACTTCTTTGACTGTTATTTACTGTTGTCCAGCAGAATGCCTGGCACCTAGGCACCCTCAAAAGGTATATGTTGAGTGAAAGACGCTAAGATACAAGGGCAGATAGGAGAGTGAAGATAGGATTACTAAGATTAACTACCATTTACTGAACAACTGATACGTGCCAGGCACGTACGAAGTCCTTTCCATTCATATTATCTCATTTAATCCTCATAACCATGCCATTATCACCCCCCCCTTTTTTGGAGGGAAACTGGAACTCAGGAAGCTTAAGAAACTTGTCCAAGGTCACATAGCTAGAAATCAGTGAAATCAGAAGTCAAGCCTAGGTCTGTTTTAATTCTAGAACTTCAGCTACTAACTGCTAAGATATATAGCCTCATGAAGAGCCATGCTAACATCCCCATGGGTTCGAGAAACATGAACATTTCCTTAAATGTTTTCTAGTAATGAAGATTGGTAGAATGCTCTCCAATAACCACAGGAAGAGGTCTTCCTGTTAGTCTTCTATTGCTATAGCTTTTGTCCAAGCAGGTCCTTGAATATATGTTGACCAAACAGGGAGACTTACCGGGAGACCTGGAGGGCCACTTATTCCTGGGAAACCCGGAAGCCCTGGTTCACCCTGGAAAATGAGCCAAAGATTAGTGAGTAGCAGCAGGAAACAGTAAACACAGAGGATATGGCTCCTGTGAGCTGCTTGGGCTGGGCAGTGGGCAACCAAGGGGGTATCCTGTGGTATAAATTCCCCAGGAGCCCCAACTAATACCTGCACCAAGATATCAGTTTGGGGAGCCCTTGTAGTATGGGAAGGACCAAGGCCCATGGCAGGGAATGAGAACTGTCTAAAACAGAATCTCAAATGTTGAAGCTAATTGGGAGACAGAAAAGATGATCATCTGCTGTCTTTCTAGTGGAAGAAGCCATTCAGTGTGATTTCCTGTTGCAAATTCCAGGCTGCAAAGAAATCAACAGTTTGGGGAAAAGAGTAACAATTACAGTTTGGATGGGGACCCATAACACTGTAATCTGTCTTTCTCCGATATGCTAATTTACCTAGTTGTGCCATGGAAGGGCTCCCTAAGGTTTGGGAATGATCAAGGAGGCAGGCAATCTTTCATATGCTCCCAAACTGTTCCCAAATTAATGATTGCTTTCTGTAAACCCGAAGAGGGCCTGGAGCTGTTGCTTCCACAAAGACAAAATTGAAGAAATGGGAGTAAACACCTTCCCCCGCCTGGGTCCCTTGACCATAGGCACAGAATCACAACACTTAAGGGAACCCTAGAAAGGAAGGGAATGCAGGTTACTAAAGATATCTGCCCACCTTAACAGCATACAGGCATTCGAGTATTACCAGGTGTACACTCACTCACATTGAAACAGAGAATGTAACATATCTCAGTTAAACAGGTCTACAGCTTCAGCCACAGTAGTTCATATCAGGTGAATTAGGGCATCTACTGCCACTTGGTGACAGTATGCCCTATTTGTAGGGTCAAATTCTGAGGGCAAATAACTTCTTTAAAAAAATAACTTAGGGGTGCCTGGGTGGCTCAGTCATTAAGCATCTGCCTTGGGCTCAGGTCATGATCCTAGGGTTCTGGGCTCGAGCCCCGCATCGGGCTCCCTGCTCTGCGGCAAGCCTGCTTCTCCTTCTCCCACTCCCCCCTGCTTGTGTTCCCTCTCTTGCTGTGTCTCTCTCTGTCAAATAAATAAATAAAATCTTTAAAAAAATTAAAAGATAACTTAAAAGCAACCATGTATACCATATGTGTTCTGTCACAAAGTACTTTGGGGACAACGTAAGTATTGAGAGGGAATAACTTAGGAGGAAAAAAACCCAACTACTTAATACTTGTTTTAAGTTATTCAGGATCTTGATAATTGAATTTGAAAAACCAAAACACAGAAAATAGGACAAATGCCCAGAAGCCCAGGCACACTCATATCCACGCACCCAAACAGAGACTTTTTAGAAGTTTTTCAGAGGGGACAGCACAAAGAAGGTTTTACCCTCAGTTCCAAACAAAAAAAGCATGATCCAGAACCCTCTATCTTTCCAGGAGAGTCTGGTTATTAGAGTTGAACTTTGGTATTAATAGGAAAAGGGTGGTTAGCATTTCCTAGGCTTAAATGTTCACTACCTTGGATCCTTTCTTCCCTTTGGGAAATCCCATAAATTCCAGTTCCCCGGTAGATGGTGGGGGTCCTGCAGGGCCTGGGAGGCCAACATCTCCCTGTAAGATCAAAGGGAATGTTAAGCAAAGCAGAAAGGTTTGTCCTCTGGGTGTCATTCACAAATAAACTGTCCATTCCTTTGGCCTCTTTACCCTCACCCTTGCCTCAGCGAGGAAGCAAAACTCTCAGTACCAAGGGGCTGGGAAGAGTTATAAGCCTGGCCAAATGCATTTTGTACCAGCACTGCAGAGGGAAGAAGCAAGATTGGTGAAAGGAGACCACAGGTTCGCGGTTGCCAGGGTCATGCATCAAAGGGTGTTGAGAAGAGAGCAAAAAAGGCTTTTGAGCAAGGAGAATGGCCATTTCTTGGCAATGGCGACCAGACTCTGATTGGCCCAGTCCTTGCCAAGAGCAAGGGCAGAGGCAGTGAAGTCTGTGTTGGAACACGGGAGGTTGGATTTGCTCCTTGGAGGCAGTGCGATCTACAAAATGCAGCCGTGCAGGGTGGAGAGGGCAAGCTCCCAGGCTCCCTCGAGCCTCCCAAAATCACTCTACGGTTTGTGCAGATGGAAACAGGGGAACGAGGGAAGTGAAGTAAAAGAGAATGGTGAGAGGTTGAAGAGGAGAGATAGAGGAGAAGGAGGAGGAGGCAGAAGAGGAAGGACAGAGGGAAGAGGAGAAGCAAAGGAGAGGAAAGAAAAGGTGACACAATATACAGAACGTCAGGGAAATACCCAGGTGGGAGGAGGAGGGAATTGATTTCAACAGAGTATGTTGGTAAGACATGCACATTTCACAGGTCAGAAGCAGGGAGACTACATACAGTATTTGGAAGGAAAAAGACCCCAGGAGCCGACGTGTGGCATGTGTACACGCAGCCCCTCCAGGGATCCCACCACACGACCCACGTGGAGTGGGAAGTGCTCATTTCCCAAGGCAAAGATCCAAGTGCCCTTAAAATGAGCAAGCACAGGTGTGCAGCCAGAGATGGTGCTGGGAGCACATGGAAGGCAGATTGTATTTTCCAAAATCTATTTACCTTGACTCCTTTCTCTCCTTGGAAACCTAACCCCATATTCCCCTGGGGCACAGGGTTGCAGGGAGGAAAAACAAAATCAATTACTAAGCAAGCTCCAGGAACTTAAATTGGAATGCAGTATTTTACCAGGAAGTGTGTTTAGCCAAACCAGAGTCTCTCTGGGGAAACTAGAACACTTAGTGGTAGGAGGCCAAGTGCCCTAAGACAGAGTATACTTACATCAGGACCAGGGAAGCCGGGGGGGCCTGGAGGACCCTGTATTAAAAATGAAAGGAACGGGTGCTTGTTAGTTTCAGACAAAAAGAACCTGGGCGTGTGGAGAGTCCCTGGAGATGAGTCTCCCAACCCCTCAGTATATTCTGGCTTTCGCACTGCAGATTCTAGCTCCCTCTGCCATGGTGCCCACCCCTTTTTTTAAATCTCCTTTGAAATCTCCCCAATTGACCTGATAACCACGTTCATGCTAAGGTGGTAAAGATTCATGCATCATTCCTCCCAAAAGGCTACACATTTAAAAAATAACGGCCCTGGGGAAAGCTAAACCAAAGTAATCAGTGGTGAGATTTCATGCACCAGAGAGAGAGAACATTCTGGAAAGGCGCCTTTCCCAGAACCACGTGGGGATAACTGGCTATGTCCTTTCTATACCGGTGAGGGCAAATACGTTTGGTATCCAAAAGATCGGTAGGTAGGTAGGTAGGTAGCCCTGTCCAAGGTGGAGTGTGGAGGATTTTGAAGTTGCTTCTGTGTTCAGGGTGGGTGATCGTGGTGAAGGTGTGATTAATTGGCAGGGTCCGTCATGGGCGAGGGGGGTAGAAGGTGGAAATAGGTGTGCCAGGCGCTGCCATCCCTGAGCGCAGAGTCAGAAAGATTCTGATAAAGACAACAATCAGCTCCTTATAAGAGCAGGCTTCACTTGACTCCTCCAAGAATGGAGGTTGCCTTTTTCCACTAGGAGAGCCTACACGGGCTTATATTTAATCGGTGGCCCTGCTGGGAAAGGGTTCATGGGAATACTGTGATCATGTGGTTGATTTAGGTCGGTCTTACTTGCAATCCTGGTGGCCCCATGAGTCCTACAGCTCCTGGGGACCCGGGTGCTCCTGGTGGGCCCTAGAGAGGCAAGTTTTTACGAAGGTCAGAAAAAAAGAGTTTCTCAAGAAAATTGGAAATACACGTCTGCAAGAGTGGCAAAAGAATGTTCAGAGCAACTTTATTCATAGTAGCAAACAATTGGAAATTTCCCAGGTGTCCACTGATACAAGGACTGATAAATAACTGATACATCTACACAGTGGAATAAATACTGAACAATAAAAAGTAACAACCTACTGATAAGTTATAATGTGGATGAATCTTGAAAGCATTGCACTACGTGAAAGAAGCCAGACCCCCAAAGGCTACGTATTATATTATTTCCTTTATAAAAAGTTCTAGAATGGGAAAAACTGAACTATGATGGCGAGAAATCTGCACAGTGGTTTCCTTTGGGTGGGGGCAGGGATTGACTGGGAAGGGGCAGAAGGGAAATTTCTGAGGCGATGAGAATGTTCTATACCTTAAGATGGGTTTGGGTTACATAGGAGTATGTCTTTGTCAAAACTCAGGAAATGTTCCATTTAAGATTTGTTTATTTCATCGCACGTAATTTTTACATTAAAAGAAAAACTGCAAAGACATATTGAAGTCTAGCTAATGATAGACATGCTGTAGTATTTAGAGGTAAGAGTACTACTGTCTGCAGTTTACTTCAAAATGCATCAACGATAAGATGGATTGATGGATGGATAAAGTGGGATAAAGCAAGCATAGTAAAATATTAATGGTATAGGTGTTCATGGCAAAATTCATTCCCCTTTGCTCTAAGATTTGAAATTTTTTTATATTAAAGTGATGTAAAAAACAAAAACTTCAAAAGAAAATAAAACACTTATATTAACATCAAATAAAGAAGACTCTGGGACAAAGAATATTACTAGAGATGAAGAGGGGGCATTTTGTCATGATAAACTAAGTCAATTCATCAAGAACACATAACAATCTTAGACGTATATGCATCTAATAGCGTAGCTTCAAAATACATGAAACAGAATTGCAAGGAGAAATAAACAAATCCACAACTAGAGTTGGAGAATTTTAACATCCCTCCCTCAGTAATTAATAGAACAACTAGATTTTTAAAAAAATCAGTAAAGACACAAAGATCTAAACAACACTGTCAACTTACCTTGACCCGATGGACATTGTTTAGATCACTATACCCCAAAGCAGCTGAAAACATATTCTCTTTAAGAGCATACGGCACATTCACTGAGACCGTTTCATATGCTGAGCCATGAAACAAACCTCAACAGATTTAAAAGGTTTGAAACCCTACAGAGTGTTCACCCACACTGCACTGAGATCAAAGTAGAAACCAACCACATAAAGATGGCTGGGCAGCTGCCAAATATTGGGAAATTAAACAACACACATTTCCGTGGGTCAAAGAGAAACGCAGAAGAAGGATGAGAAACTATTTGAAACTGGATTGCTAAGGACAGTATTACAAGCAAGACAATAAAATCTGAAGAGAAAGACGGTTATGGGGAAATGGATGGCCCAATGAAAATGGGGGGACGGTAATGAGATGATGGGTAAGAGATGGAGAGGCTAAGCAAAGTCACAAGAAAGTAGGGGTTCAGAGGGTCCCCAGGAAACAGAACCCTGCTTTGACAAAATAACCTGGGGTCCCCTTACTGATCACAAATCTCTTATTCAGCCACCAAACCATCCTCCCCCGATCTAAATGATTTTTTTGTCATGCCTGCGAATACTGTCGATGAACACTTGTACCTTTGTGGGCAGAGCAATGACTCCCTCGGAGAAGCTAGGCAGCCAACAACGTGGGTGTGATTCTGCGAATGTAGTTAACACACCATCTAAGCCAGTGTTGCCTGGTGAAGGGGACCCTTATGCCCTTGGTCTTCACTCACCTCTGTTTGCGTGCATGCTTGCACACATCCTGTTTCTTGCCTACCTCTTCCCACATGGCTCTCTCTGTTTAGAAAGCTTCCTCCCATTGCGGGCCAGCCCAAACATCACCCGCAGTTCTCAGAGGTTACCTTCTCCATCTTAGATATAAAGTCTCCCATGATGTAGCTTTAGGTGGACAGCATCTCTTCCTCCAAGTTGGTGAGGAATTCTTATGCAACAGTCCTACTAGTTTTTCACATCTTGGGGGGTGTGTGTTGGGGTGTGGGGTGGGCAGAGACCCTGACTACACTGTCTCGGGGATCACTCATAGCACCTTGCGGCTAGTAGGAGCTCAATAGTGGTTCTGGAACGAAAGATGAAAGGCAGGAACCCTGACATAGGAAAGAAGGAAGAAAGAAGAGGCTTTTCCGAAGCCACTTCAAAGGAGAGCAACAACGATGTGGCAACCCAAGGAAATAGAAAGTTCTTACTTTTTTAAAGATTTTATTTATTTATTTGAGAGAGAGAGAGAACAAGCGTGGGGGAGCAGAGGGAGAAGGAGAAGCAGACTCCCCACGGAGCAGGGAGCCCGATGCAGGGTTCGATCCCAGGACTCCGGGATCATGACCTGAGCCGAAGGCAGACGCTTCACGGACTCAGCCACCCAGGTGCCCCAGAAAGTTTTTATTAATACAACTCACAGCCTTGCACGGACTCCCAAATATTAGGAGTCCCTCAAAGGAATTTCTAGACAGAACAGCTTTCACAGAAGAGTGTTCTTTTTTGTTTTAACCCGCAGCATTCTGAACACACAGAGAACAGTTAGTAGACACTTGCCGAACGAAAGGCGAAATTCTTTCCGAATGCATCGCAGGGAGTAGGAAGGTCCCTGGCCTAAGGGTCTGAAAGGCTACCTCCTGCGCAACTTGAGGGGGGCCAGCCGACCCTCTCAGAACTTTCTCACCCGGAAAATATCAACAGTGTGACCCGCTCTACCTCAACTGTCTGGATTTTCCTTGAGAAAGTCTACAAAGACCTTCGAACGCCGTAGCGAGGAGGAATGCAAACGGACCCGCAGCGACTGCCAACCAAACATTGGGCGCTCCACCCAGAAATGACAACTTACAGTTATTCCATCCAGTCCAGGCAGCCCAGGCTCCCCCTGAGAAACAGACAAAGGCAGGACACGGGAGAGATTAATTAAGCCTGCGCTATTATTTCATAGATAACAGACCTATGCTTCACGGGCAGAAAAACGCATTGCTGATGCTCGGGCCTCCTCTGTCAAGGTCTTGTGTTTTAAATAACGCATGAATTGGGCCTATTCAACCACTTACTTTTTTTTTTCCTAGGAAAAATCCGGACTCTAGAAGACACATATTATAGCCTTGGTTGAACGGGATTTCATATTTTACTTGGAGTAATTAATTTTCACCTTTGCTAGGAACTCATCAATTAGAAACTGCTTCTGTGGGCTGGTGATTCTCCTGCTCTTTTTGGAAGAAAGCGAAGCTACCTTCCCGTGTGCCTTCATCCCCAGAGAATCTGTGCCCTTATGTATACAATGCAAATCAGACATTTCAAGGGAGAATCAACAGAGCATACAGTCTCTGATTACGTTTTAATTACTTTGCAGCATCTTAAGTCACTGTATGAATCTGTAATATAACCATCTTGTGGAAATTGCTGTGTTCCACTGGGTCCAGGGTCTCCGTGATTTTTGGCAAAGCCGTTTCATCAATGTTTGCTATGACAATAGCTATACTTTGACACCTGCTAGTCTTACCCCGTTTGGCTTACGGTCAAAAAAAATCAGCTCTCTGCAGCACGGGAAGAGCACTGCCTGGGTTTTAGCTCTTCGGTAAACCGGCTATGTGAGTCTGAGCGAGGCACATAGCCTCAGTGTACCTCAGTTTTTCTATCTGTAAAATGAGCAACATGAATCCATCGGCTACCAGGGGGACGATGAGCTCACCTCCCACTCTGCAAGGGAATAGAGTCAATCATTTGGGCACCAGAATTTCCAGGTTAGCATACACCAAGAGTACAGTCACAAGAATACAGAAGGTTCTTGTCAATTCTAGGAAGAGATGAAAGTTTCCAGCCAGCTGCAGAGTTGATGGGCAATTTTTGCAGACAGCCGGGGGCCCTGCAAGGGTAATGGGCTGGTGTGCAGGTACAGAAAAGGGCGGGGCCATCATCTTGGGCCAGTGGCCATGGCGAGATGGGCAGAGACATAACATGGCTTTATACCAAGGTATGCAGACATCAAGGATTGTAGGGTAGACAAAAGGTATCTGCCTCCTGGAAATGTCTTGGCTTGTCAAAGAAAATGATACCCAGGCAAACTGTTTGTTTGCTGATCTGTCTCCTATTTTTGGTCTAGATCCTATAAAGCAAATCTCTTTGACAGTATGGTTGCAAACATTTCTGTCAGTGTTTCCATCACAAAAAAAGCTCCGGATCCCTTTTAAATCTAGCTTGGTCTGCTCCTTAAATAGAGACACAGATGCTAGTTCTGGAAATGTTTTATTGGAGCTGGGGCCCAATCCTGGGGAACCCAACTTATAGCCAGCCTACTTAGCTGTCCGCCTTAGGGGCTCTTACCTTCATTCCTTTGAAAGTACCTTGGGTGAGGACAGGTTCACCTTTAAAGCCTTTCTGACCAGGAAGCCCCTGAGTAAAATAAGAAACACTTGTGAAGAAATGCGCACACACAGAGAGAATTTTGTTAACAGTATGATCTGATCACACAGAGGACACAACAGCGAGATTCTGGAACTATGTGGTTTGTTCTATGGCTGTGCTAAGGGGCAAAATACATCCCCCAAACAGGTGCTGAGTCTCAAGATATATGCCTGCTTCCCCATCTCCCCAGTCAGGAGTCTGTAAAGGGATGAGAAAGTAGGAGACTTCGATTCTGTTCAGAACACTGATCTGAACATCCACATATAACACACATGTTCATAAGCCTACCGCTCATCTGCTCCACCCCTCACAGGTATGTCCCTGACACGGCCCCTGGCTAGGACAGAGCTTAGAGAACTTCGGTAAAGAGCCAGATAGTAAAGAATTTAGACTTTGTGGGCCATATTTGGGCTCTGTCTTGTATTCTTCTCTCATTCTACACAAACCTTTAAAAATATCAAACCAAGCCTCAGTCATGGGTCACACCGGCCAGTCTGCAGCCCTCCGGGTTAAGAGATATTTACAAAACCATCTCCATCCTGTGATTCTGCCACAAAATCTCAGCTTCAACGCCTGTTTAAGAGGCTTGGTGTGTCTCACTGTTAACATGGAGAACAGTTCAAAGTACGCCGAACCTGACTACCAACCAGACTTTTTACTGTCTCCCTAATGTCTGCTAAAGTGTGTCCTCCTGGGGAAAGTCAATGTCCCTATATCTAAGGGGAAGTCAGGATTAGTATTGGAGGTAGGACTAAGCTTTGGGGACTGAAGAGTTGGCTGAATTATGGATTCCTCGAGCTCAAGGATCATAGGTGTGATAGAAGAACAGTGGGTCCCCGAAGCACCTTCTTTCCAGACGCTTCCTGTTTCCCCTTATACTTAGGGCCGCTCCTTTCATCAAAGAGGCTTGACACAATATCCACTCAAGATTCAGCAGCGTTAGTAAGGGTTCAGCTTAGTAAAATCTATGCCCAAGTTCCTATTTAGGCTTAAGGGGAGGCTTAGGGACAGGATTAGGTTTTACCCTTGTCCTTTTGGCTGTCAGGATGTTTATTACCTCAAGATTTCTTTTCTCCCTCTTGGGGGCAGCATTTCCTCACTTTGCTGGGTTTCCATTCTCTAAACACAGATGTGATTTGTTCTCCTGTTGCCATGGCAGTGTTGGGAGGCCTTTGTGACTCAAACAAGCTCATACTATGTTGGTAATACGTCTTTCTCCAACCCCCAGCCCCGCTGCATATTGGTTTGGTCTTTAGATGTCAAGGTCCTCTTTGCCAATCCGAGGCTTGTGCTTCGTCTATCTCACTTTCTTATGCGGATACCCACACCCACGACTTGGTCACTGAAGCCAATGGTGCTACTCTTCCAATAAAATACTAACTAATGCTTCAATGAATATGGGGTGCATATATCTTTTTGAATTAGTGTTTTTGTTTTCTTGGTATAAATGCCTCGGTATGGAAATAACCTAAGTGTCTGTCGATGGATGAATGGATAAAGAAGATGTGATACACACACACACACACACACACACACACACACACACTGGAATACTACTCAGCCATAAAAAAGAATGAAATCTTGCCATTTGCAACAACATGGCTAGACCTCGAGAGCATTACACTAAGTGAAATAAGCCAGGCAGAGAAAGACAAACACTATATGATTTCCCTGATATGTGGAATCAAAAGCAAAACCAAAACAAATGAACACACAAAACAAAACAAATTTCAGATACAGAGAACAGACTGGTGGTTGGCAGGGGGGGCGGGTGGCTGGGAAGGGGATGGGTGAAATGTGTGATGGGGATCAATAGGTATAAATTTCCAGTGACAAAATAAGGAAGTCATGGGGATGTCATGTACAGCATGGTGACTATAGTCAATAATATATTTTTAAAAGATTTTATTATTAAGTAATCTCTATACCCTAACGTGGGGCTCGAACTTACAACCTTGAGATCAAGAGTTGCATCCTCGACTGACTTGAGTCAGCCAGGTGCCCCCAGGGTAAATAATATTTTATTGCATACCTGAAAGTTGCTAAGAGAGGAGATCTTGAAGGTTCTCACCATAAGAAAAAAAATTCGTCGCTCTGTATGGTGACAGATGGTAACTAGACTTAGTGTGGTGACCATTTTGCAATGTATACAAATATCGGATCATTATGTTGTACGCCTGAAACTAATATGATGTTAGATGTCAATTATACTCTAATTATAACAAAGAAAAAGAATGTGGGATAGCACTGGAATAAGACATACTGAAAAAATGCCAATTAATTCATGTAGCTACAGAATCTAATAGTGTGATTTCTAGCTAAATCTATCACCTCAGTACCCTTAGTAGCTTAGATTATTTCAAGTAAGGTTGACAATGGGCTTGAATGTGTTATTTTTCTCTTTCCAGTCGCTTGTAAAAAGCAGCCTTGCAAGGGCATGGTATATATTAGAGATCCTTCAGATCCAAATATCTGGGCCCTACCTGGATGAATAGAATTAAATAAAAGTGGTGAGAGCAGGATCTAAAAAATGCTCTACCAATCCCGGAAGCAAGGGTTATGGGGGTGGGTTGTGGGGGGATGGGGGCAAACTATGTCAGTGTAGAGTAGTATTTCTCAATTCTTTCTCACTACGGACACTTTGGGACAGATGACTTCTTGATGTTGGAGGAAAGCCATCTTGTGCTAGTAGCATACCCTGAGTGGTGACAACCAAAATGTCACTAGTAACTGTTAAATGTTCCTTGGGGGTGGGGAATCACCCCTGGTCAAGAATCACTGGTTTAGACCAAGCCTGCCAAGCCCTGTGGGTCATTGTCAGTGCTCCCGTGATCCCACGTAAGCCTTCCAAGTACTGCATTTTCCAATGTCATCTGATGTGGGAACATGTCAAATAGCCCAAGTACATACTTTGCTCTGAAATGTACTAGAGGCTCTTCACAACCTTCCCAACTCTAAAAGTTTCGTTTGAAAAAGAAAAAAAAAAAAAAAAAACCCTCTGAGGAGTGGAGCGTGTGCACGCCCCCCGCAACTGGTATTCTTTAGATGCAGATGCTTAACGAGGTCTCCATAAAAGCAGGGAAAGGCGAAAAATGCCTTTTGAGATAATGGACAAAGATCCGGCAACGTACGGGTGGTCCGAGAAGCCCAGGATAGCCATCAGGGCCCGGATATCCAACAGCTCCTTGAGTGCCATTACAGCCATCCGGGCCAGGTGGGCCCCTGGGCCCTGGCTGTCCGGGGTGGCCCTGTTCCAAGAGAAAAGAAGGGATCACATCAGCTGCATGACTCCGACCTACCCTGACAAGCTCCACAGGAAGAGAAACCAAGTGTCCTGCCCATCGCTGGCTCCTTGTCCTATGAGAACTATGCTCTTAGAGCTTTCGTCCACACTCAGGTGTACGGAGCTGATGACAACCCAGGGGGGCCCCCTCCCCGAAGGATTGATGCTTTAATCAGACCCCTGCTGAAACCGAAGGGACCAAGCCTAAAGAGATGGGATACACAGGGTGGTGCAACTTCATCTTCCCGGGGTACAAAGATGTACTAAGACAGGGCTTAGCTGGCTGGCAGCTGAAGGGTTACCAACAGGGAATCATGCCAGGCCTTGGGACTTCCTCAGAACAGACCGGAACCCAGGCAGCCTGGTGTGGCTGTCTGTATTGGAAAAGCCTGGGGCTTTTTTTTAAATATGGCTCTGCCTAGGAAAGGATGTTGGCTGTTGGTCAACAGAGCAGAAGCAGTTTCCACAGCACCACCTCCATGCTTTCGCCTCTTCTCCATACTTGCTACTGAGACAGTTATTTTGCCGGGGGGATTAGCAATCATTCACATGATTGATCAGAATTCAAGAGTTTCCCAGAGTTGAGCTTAGAGTCCACCTTTTCGTGGGGAACAGATCTTTTAAAATCTGTCAAAAGCGGGGTGTGTGTTGGGTTATGGAGCAAAGAGATGACCTGAAAGCCCAGAAATCTGGACGGGTCAATAAAAGGTTGACTCCGACCCTGCCACATGCACTTTTTAAAGCCAACCATGGATATTTCATAATTTGGGGAAAACGTGCCACACATTCGAAACTCAACTTTTTGAACCATTAGGGGAAATGAGCTTTTGTCAAATTCTTACTGAGAAAATGCTCCATAGGATTTTGATAACAGTTTCATTGTTATTACGTTGGTAGGAGATAGTCTGATACAAAAGTATGAGTCTAGACTGCTGGACTCATGGAATGCTAAGAACAGAAGAATGGTCAAGAAACTTATCTTCACAATAAACCTGCTACAGTCTGTACCTGCTCAGACTCAGGTGATGAATTTTAGCTGTGCTGGGGACACCGAGAACAGCTTACTAAGTCGTCAACATTTTATTCCCAAACAAAATGGCTCTTCTTGTTTGCCCTGAAGATCCACGCTCCACCTTCCCCAGATCTGTGCCTTGGGAGGCTGAACTTTATGAATGGTGCCGCCTAGGCTCCCTTTCTCTCTCTCTCCCAGTTGTCTTTGGCCACTGGGAGACACAGGCAGAAGATCAAAGAGCGGGAGGAGAAAGAGCACAGGTTGTTTATTTCCCGCATGCCCTCCCTCCCTGGCCATATTTTGGACAATGGCCACATTTCTCTACAGGTCTTCGTTGAGCAGCCACTATTCCTTGGCTCCAGATCTGACCAGTGTCCAGTGTCCAGTTCCACTATCACCGTTCTTTCTTTCCCCTTTGGGCCTAGAGGCAGCCAAAGCTTTTGTGTCAGTGGCTTTGCAATCCATTGCTGTTGCCCTGAATCATGCCTACATCCTTTAAATATACCCTTCATGCCACTCTCTTCGTTAATCCTTTCAGGTGGAGTATCTATTTCTTCCCAGGATCCTGATCGCCACTTTAAAATATCCCAGCCAAATGTGCTAGGGGTTATCGCTAAGCTGGGTAACAGGGATGAGTTAAGGCAAAGACAATATGTTGGCTCAGTCCTAGGGACCCACCTTACTCCTGGAGCCTTCGTTGTGTTTGACACCAAAACTTCCTGGCTTCTTACCCCTTGGTATCTACATTTTTTTTTTTTTAACTTGGGCCCCAATCCTGTGGTTTTCTTGCCTGAATTCCTTTTTTAAAAAATATTTATTTATTTATTTTAGAGAGCAAGCACGATGAGGGGAGAGGGGCAGAGGAAGAGAGAGAATCTCAAGCAGATTCTGCGCTGAGTGCAGAGCCCAACGTGGGGCCCATCTTACGACCCTGAGATCATGACCTGAGCTGAAATCAAGAGTCAGATGCTCCATTGACTGAGCCACCCAGGCTCCCCTTGCCTGAATTCCTAATATCTTCTACCTGCAGGATTCCAGGCGGTACCTGTTCACTCTTTCCCCCCTTAGCTGAATTCTCTGGAATTAACCGCTGGCATTTGATTCAGACCTGTCAGCCTTGTCTTGTTCAGCTGAGGTGACAGCTAAAGCATGTTCTGAGTCAGCCAGACTTGTGTTCCAATCCCAGCTTTGCCTCTCCCCAGCTTGAGCCTCAGTTTCTTCATCCGTAAAAAATGGAGATGAACAATACTACCTCCTAGGGTTGTTGTCAACATCAAAATGAAATGAACAGTTTATGGCTACAATTAAACGAGGCTAAGTTTACTACATAGGAGCTCAATGAACAGGAAGTCTACTTCTCCCAGGCAAGTCAGCAAGGATACGCCACCGGGCTGAAGTTCTATCTCCTTCGAATTCTCAGTAGTACCACAGCATTTCGGGCAATGGGCCCCTTCTGGTTTTAGCTAATGATTTCACAGATGTGTGTGTCAGCTTTCAAGGGGAACATAGCTTTTTGAGGGAGGAGACCATGATTCTATACAACTGCAAGGTGCCGAATACACAGGATAAGAAGATGTGCTGTAATCCAGAAAAGCAATGTTCCTGAGAACCCAGATTTCAAAGGGAAAAGTTTCCGTTTGGTGAGTGGTGTGTGTTCATTCTGAAGATATAAATCCGGTGTGTTCATTTACGAGTCTCTAGGAAGGGTAATGTTTGAGATTAACTCCAGGAGAAAAGCTAAACATACATTGCAAAGGACAACTTGAAAACTTCTGCTCCCAACCTTATGTGAACTGAAAACAGTTGATAAACATACATTTCTTGTGGGTGCCAACAGCTCCAACGCACAGCTGTGATATCATGAAAAACCACAAGCCTACCGCCCTGAGTCTGTTAGTCTAATGTTGACTATCTTGATGAATGCTTGTTTGTTCATTCTCCCAACTGGTTGCTGTGCCCCTTGGTGCACAGACTTGGATGATCATAAAATGATTACTTGCTCACTCATGTTGAAACTACCTACATGGCAGCAACAATGGAGTTTTGGGACCAAAACCAGTGACACATATGTTAGCGATCAGCCAATATTAAGCGGGGAATCAGATTTGTGCAGTGATCCAGTTTAGTAAGATGTGTTGGGAAAGCTGTTGGTTTCAGCTGCCGAAAGTAGAGCAAAATAATTAGTCTGGCTGGGCCAAGGGTGTCTACGTCTTCCTGTGTCTGAGGGAGTCCTGCCAGTCTGACAACTGTTGCTTGTGTGGGCACTAAGGGTTGGAGCCAGTCCCGCAGATATTTCTAGCGTTCTAGTATGTGGTGAATTCAGCCCTGGGGTCTCTAAGGCCTCCGAGTGGAGCAGAAGATGTACTCTGCACTTTCAAGGAAGCTAGATAAGACCATCAGACAAGACAACTAATAAATACCATGGGCCACATGTAATAAGGAGCTAGACACCGAGGACCCCTAGGAGATTAGAGATGGAAGGGAGAGGTAAGCAGCAAACAGAAGGTGCCCAATAAATACATCTTGAGCTGCTGGAAGAGGGGGAAGGAACAAGGGAGAATAATTTCACTGAGTAAGAGAGTCTTGGAGCCTGAAGCTAAAGCAATCAATGGTCAAAAGCAAACATAGACAACCTTTGGTCAAGGGAAGGGCCAAGGGAGTGGGGGCTTCTATCAGGAGCAGTGCATTCATTTGGAGGAATCTGTACACCTGTACCTCATTCTCCCAAGTAATGAAGCCCCAGAGAGAAGCGAGCAATTCCTGCAAGCCCTAGCGCTCTCCTGGCCACATGCTGGAGAGAGAAGTATCCAGCTGGACTCTGGGGCATGTCCCAGTTCAGAATTGAAATCAGCCTCTGTGTCACAGGATTCGCTTCCTTCCAGCCCCCATTAAAAAGAGACTGCAGGAGGAAGAGCCCAGTGCTGCTGTAAGCTCCAAATCCCCCACTCAGCTCCACAGGAGGAATGGAAGAGGCGCTCTCCAGCTTTCTCGTTTTCCTTACCCCCTGGCTCCCAGAAGACACACAATCCGAGCGGAGACTCTGGGTAAAGTGCCGATAGGAAGACAGCCAGGGGAAAATGCCAGAGGATGTCTTGAAAGGACAGCTAACCCCATCCACTTATGTCCCTGCTGGCCCATTTCTGGGCATTTTGCAGATTCTGCAGTTGGATAAAGTGCAGAATTCTGATGGCCGATTTGTTGATACAGATAACAAATATAAGGAAACAAGACTCTGTCCTCCAACTCCACAACTGTATACTAGAGCTGGAAGGAAAATGGATCAGATAATATCTTTTTATTATTTTTTTTATTTTTTTTCAACTGAGCAGATAATATCTTTTTAAAATATTTTATTTATTTGAGAGAGAGAGCATACAGGCAGGGAGAGGGAGAAGCAGGCTTCCCACTGAGCAGGGAGCCTGATGTGGGGCTCGATCCCAGGACCCCGGGATCATGACCTGAGCTGAAGGCAGACGCTTAACCGGCTGAGCCACCCAGGTGCCCCCAGATGATAATATCTTTGAGGGTAGATCCATATGCTTTTTCTGTATCCATGCAGTAGAGAGACAGCATCTAGCAAGTGCACGAGAAATACCTACAGATTGGCACAAGGAGGTTTAAGCCCCCTTCCTTGATACTAGATGATAACGCAGTATAACGCAAGAAGCTGTTAAGTCCAGGATTTGCCAAAGTGTGCTTAGATATGGTGCAGAAGAAGCCCTTCGAGGTTGTCGGAAGGATAAAAGCAGGCTCTAAAACCTCCCTCAAACAAAGAAGCTCTACTTTTCGCTGATTCGTACACTGAGCTTCCTTCCACACAACCTTTGGGTCTTCTCTGAAACAAGGCTGAAAACCATTGCTATAGACAAACACAGCCCAGGCTACAGATTAGATATCTAGACACGTGCCAAAAGTCAGAACTCAAAAATGACAGCAGCAAGTTGCAAATACTGTATTTTAAAGGCTGGCAAAATGTTAATCGTGGACTCTCCAGTGGTGGGATAAATAAGGATACAGGGTGAAAACGGAGCAACCAAGGGGTCGGACCAGATAAAATGGGGAAAGGAGATGTCTGTAAGCTCCAGATTCCTCACTTATCTCCAGCAAAACCAGGTCCTCAGGATAAAGGGAAGGGGCTGTCTCCATGCAATCTCTGGAACAGTCGCTCTGTAAAGACTAAAGGGAAATTCACTCTGGAATGAGATAAGGCTGAAGAGAACAAATTACTGGAGTGAAATGTATTGAGATAACACTAAATATTTTTCTGCCCAATTTTATGTATCCTCTAAATATTCTTTTTTTCCTTAATTTTCTTATAATGAGTATGCATGTGCTCTGATGTGTGTCTCCACACATCATCTCCAGTTAAAGCTCCCCTCAACCCACAAGACCTAATTCTTTTTGGCTAACGTATTGACAGTTATGCCTGCACATGTCCCACCTGGCTGATTTAGTGCTACCTGTAGCTAAATCCCCGGGAAAGTGTGTGCGACCACTTCGCTTCAAGCCTGAACATCAAGCATCTCAACACTTGACCCGGAGCACGCTTGTGTGAAACAGGATGTGGCGAAGGCCAAGGTGAGTGCACTGTGAGGCACGACCTAGAAGTGATGCTGAAAAATGCCTCTGGGCACATACTCACCGGAATCCCATTGATGCCGAGAAAGCCAGGAACTCCCATGGGACCCTAAAACAAGGAGTAGGAAGAGGAAGGTGTAAGAGACAATCTAATTGATCTCCACTAGATTCAGTGGGTTCTTTCATGTGATTCATGACCTAAGTTAAGAAGTGTTGTGCACCTCCTTCTCCACATTGTGTCACCTTGCTCCCTACTCCAGGTCCAGGTGGTCACTTGCCTCAACCCACGGTCTTAAATATGTCTGTGTTCTGAGACCAGTTTTTATCTTGAGCAATATGGCGCCAGACCAAAAATAATAGCTCAATATTACATGCTGCTTTGACATCTGGGAAAACTGGGAGGGCCTCTAAAGGCCTAGCCCCAAGTTCCCCTGTCTTCACTGCTCCCATAGAGGAGGTCTCCTAGGGAAATGGCCCTCCTTATCAAACAGAGCAGGTGCAGTTCCTGCTTGTCCCTGAGTCGTGGGTTTTGGTCCCTGATGGCTCATTAAATTATTCAAACAAGCCAACCACATCCTCCCACGGGAACCAAAGGGCACCTCACCCTTTTGACACTACAAAGGCTACCTCTCACAGCCCCTTCTGGTTTATTCTGTTCCAGAGTGCACCCCCCACACACCATGTGGCCCTGCGTGGTGTGTGGTGTCCTTCTACCCTGTGCCGTGAGTATAGGTGACTAATAAGCCTGATGTCAATCTCTTCCATCCGAGGTCAGGGGTCATGTCTTCTGCCATCCCCAGAACCCTAGGGTGGGAATCCCTCCCTTAACAGTGGGGTGAATAGGAGGTGATTAAAATCTGCAGGGAATATAAACTAAGCTGCTAAACTCAGCCAGCTACCATGACATGATCAATCTCCTTTCTTGCATCTCTTTCCCTACCTTTGTGGCCCAGACTGCTTCGTAGCATTCTGACACTTTGCTTCCCAGTCTCCTTGCTTGGATTCCTGACCTCTCCTGCCCAGCTGCTTCAACTTCTGACCCACGCCCACCTCGAACCCACCTGAAATCCCAGCCCAGCAAGCCCACGTGTCCAGCAAGTAGCCAACACATGTGCTTTAACGGCTTGCTTTCCATGAGGGTCTCTCTAGAAATGGGTTGCTCCAGGGTCTCTCTAGAAATGGGTTGATCCATTGGCAGCATATCGCCCAGGCTGTTTCTTATTAAAGTCTATAGCTTGGCACCGAGGGACTCAGGATTAGTATTATTTCCATAAGCGAACAGAACTGAGATTTAGAACCTTTCGCCTTCATATGTGTGGTCCACGAGTCAAAGAGAAAGCAGGCTCTCGTGTTTTTACCTTATCTCCTTTTGGTCCGTATGGTCCCAGAGGGCCTGGGGAGCCTCTCTCTCCTCTCAACCCTGCTAAACCACTAGGGCCGGCAGATCCCTGTGGACCTGTTGGACCTTGAATTCCGACTGGTCCCGGTCGCCCCTAAGATGGAGAGAACGGGTGCAATTAGCCAACAGAGGACTCAACATCAACACTCCCCATTTTCCCATGCACAGAGAACACTGTCATCACTTCACTGAATAATTTTGGCTTAGAGATCTGTGAGGCATGCCAAAGTTCCAGACACAGATCAGAAAAGGCTATTTTCGGGGCCGCTAAGCTTGTTTGGATAGAACATATTTTATAAGCACATTTAATAAGATTCATGTGCACCAAGATCCTTCAACTTTGTACTTCTTAGGAGATTAGTTATTCAGGCGGGCTAATACTGTCCTCTTTCTAGTTGATGCCAGGCCATCTATCAGATTGTCAAAATGGTGAAAGAACAGAACACTGGAGAGCATCGTGACATTTTATAACTCACATTCAAATGGCCAATCCCATACTTGCAGTGAAGTCCAGAAAGGGCTAGGCCTAAAGAACATTGCCTTGGGGTGGGGGTGGGGTCCAGAGAGGAGAGAAAGATCCAGAGAGGGGAAAACCCAGAAACCCATAGGCTGACCAACCTGCAAAAGCTCATCTTTGTTTACAGATCCCAGGGCCCCATCACTGCAACTGGAAACAGATGCTTATAGGGAACACACGCACACACAAACACACACACTGTTTATTTGTTCCTTCTCTATTTCTCCCTCTTTCCCTTCAACCCACCATCTGTAGAGTGTTGAATGTGTAAAATTCAAGAAGCCTGAGACTATCCATTAAGTATCAATTATGATAGCAAGAGGGAGCAGCTTGAGGATTTTGAATGCGTTAGTTATAAAATGTCTGCAACAATTAAGTCTGAGAGTTCAGGCTGACATTTCAAAGCTGACCGAGATAGAGAATTAACCCCAGTGGGTGCAACACAGGCGGGCTAGTCTATCATTTAGAACAAATCCCAGTAGGTACTGAATATTCTTGGCAGAAAGATGAAAACCATTAGTAATGTGCATTACCTCTCAGAGAACACCACACCATACCAGGTAGAGAGCCTATTTTCATGAACGTTTCCCATCTCCACCTCTTGGCCCTTTTACTGACTGTCTGCAATTTCCCACACATCTGCAAAAAACTCAGGAAAGCCCATTAGACATACCCTTTAATATGCACCTTCAAGGGTTGCTTTTTAAAAGGCTGGAAACAGGACAGATGCTTTCGGTAGTGGTCAGAGTCACATACTGGAGATGCAAGTGGCCACCAGCTGTGCGGGGCCTTTGGAGTAAAATTTCCAGTGTCAGTTAGGCCCACGAAGACCAATAACTCATCCAAAGAAGTACAAAGATGTTCTTCCTAAGGAGATGTAATTTTCTGGGGGTACCACCCACCACTAACCTTCTCCAGCACCCAACATATAACTTCTAAAGGGTGCTAGGCTGTGGAGTGCTTAATGGCTTATTTCTGGGGATGATGGAGTGGGATGAGAACTTTCACTTTTTATGCTCTTACCTCCCACTGTTGGAATTTTGTTTATAATGATTCTGTTATTTATTACTCTTGTAAGTTTATATATATATATATGTGTGTGTGTGTGTACCTATCTATATATATACACATATATAAAGAAAAAGACCAATAACAGTACTAAAAAGAAAAAGACCAACACCAATACTTAAAAAAATAATGCTGGCGGGTTGAGGATTAACAAAGAAGTCCAGAAAGTAGGCCTAGCTTTCAAGACTAATGTCCACAAAACCACAGCAAACAGTACAGGTCTAGAACTGAGCCTAAGTGGTCCAGGGGCACAAAGAAAGGGTTGGCCATGGAGGGTTTGTGAAATGCTTACGTTCTGTCCATGGCTGGGGGGAGTCATGGCCCACACTGGAAAGGCTGAGGGGGCCCCAACTGAGGCGGGCCTGGAAAGCAAAGAAGGAAAGTTGAAGACTTGACAGAGGAGTGCATAGGGAACCCTCAGAGGTTTGGGGACAGGGGACGAATGGGAGGAAGGCAGCACTTCAGGGCTGAAATTCCAGCCTGCCTGAGGCTAGAACAAGGGAGACAGATAAGAACCAGCTGTTGGGGAAGGTGGGGACCTGTTGGTGGGAGGATGGGGCCCAGGATGGGGCCCAGGATGGGCTTGCTGAGGCCAGGTTATTACTAGCAAAGAGGATGCAGGCAGGGCACTGAGTGCTTGACCCAAATCTGAGGACTGCCCAAAGCTTTCTCACATCAAGGGATGGGAGGTGGAGAGCACGATAAACCACTGGTCTGAGAGAGCAGATTGTGGTGTGGCCCAGTTCCCATCCTGCTCACATCACTGGGGCCTGAGCGGGGCCTGGCTGGCACACTCCAGCTCTGGTGTCTTGCCTCTGTGAGCACACACTCAGCAAGAGTAACCAAGGAGACGTAGGAGTGAGGTGATTCTAAGGCTGGACTTAACAGGAAATCTGATTCCATCGAGAAGAGGCAGGATTCCCTGGCCCGCTCCCTTTCTCTTGGCTGGCCGGCCATGCTGAATTTGCCACAGAGAGCTTAGAGTGAGTCTCTTAAAGGACTCGTAGATTCTCTGGATTCTAGTTCTTTTTCCAAAGGGCCTTCTGAAATGGCCCCCCTCAGGGGCATGCGTATCTCCGAGGTACAGCCTCTGGGCTGGCCCCAGCTAGAAAGCTCTCAGACCCACCTAAGGGCCAGAAGCGGGGCCTGCAGGATGTCTCGAGGCCTCTGAGGTACCACTAGCGTAGAACTGCCTCCTCACTGGGGTGCCAGGCCCTTCTGGATCATAGGATCCGAGACGAGGACTCTTCCTCCTCACTGCAGTACCATCATACAGTGGGGCGCAGCGCCGCCAACAGATGACCACAACGGAAAGAAGGGAGAGACACATTTGCTTTGTGGGGTGTTTTGTCAGCCATCTCCAGATATGCTTGCTCAGTGCTTCCAGCTGTATGTCCTTTTTCGCTCGTCTCCAAGGCATGGGGTTCCTGTCCCTGTGCCCACTCTACTGATGAAGCTTAACCCTAAATCAATGATGAACTGCCCTTTTTTTTTTTTTTTTTAAATTTGGTCCTCCGAAGAAGCGATCAGTGGCACCTTTCATAATGGCCAGCAGAGGTCAGTGTAAGAACACAGCAGCTGCAGATAAGCAGGTGGGTGGGTGGGCCTCTCTCACTACAAATAAGAAGAAATCAAACCCGTGTCAGAGAAGTCACAGAATGTTCGAGCAGAAAGGGCCCTCGGAGACCATTTCATCTAGGTTCTATTTTATACATGGGGAAAAAAAAGAAGCCAAGAGAAGGGGAAGGACTTGTTCGGGTCCCATAGCTAGTGAGGAAAACAGCGTGGGACTCCAACCAGACTGCCGGCTGCCAGTGTGGGGCCCTTTCCTTGTTCGCCAGTGGCAGATGTCCTAGGGGGTCCTTGAGGCTGCCCCCCTTACCCTGGGCCCGCCCCTGGGACTGTCCCCATCAGTAGGCTGCAGCAGCCAGATGCTCACACATCATTTCTCTCTTCCTAACTCTGATCATTTCCCAGAGCCAATCTGAAACATCAGCACTGTTGGGACTGCTAGCAGAATTTCAATGGGCTTGGACCAATGCCCTGCCCTCATACATGTCATTTATTTTGGCAAATAGACCCAGACAGGGCAGAAGGGACTCCACCCAGTCTTTCCAACAAGCTCTCCTGCCTCCATCTGCTAGGGATTTTAAATATGCGCAGCAGGGTCGAATTCTCCAGAGACTGAGCTGGGACTTGTGCCTGAGGCCAGGAACGGCAGTGCCTGACTGATGCGCAGGCTGCCTGCTTCCTGCTGACCACAGGGCATTGGGGCTAGCATGCGGTTTCGGGTCACCTTAGATCAGACCACACCCACAGCTCCGGCCCCACATCACTGGGGTAACAGACCCAGTAATGGGTCTGCATATGAAAGACAGTAGTCCCTCCCTCCCTATTCATGGGTATGTGTACCACAACCCCCGGTGGTGGCCTGAAACTGCAGATAGTACCAAACCATATATATGTGTGTGTGTGTGTGTGTGTGTGTGTGTGTGTATACTATCATTTTTCCTCTACACACATACCTGGGATAAAGTTTAATTTGTAAACCAGGCACAGGACAAGATTGACAATAATAATAAAACAGAACAATATTTAACAATATTAACAATATTGTTAACAATATTTAACAATATCTAATATTAACAATAATAATAAAACAGAACAACTATTAACCATTTGCTGTAAAAAAAAAGTTATGTGAATGTGGTCTCTCTCTCAAAATATCTTACTGTTCTGGACTCACCCTTCTTGGGATGATGTGAGATGGTAAAATGCCTACGTGATGAGATGACATGAGGGGAACGACGTAGGCGCGGTGACGTAGTGGTAGGCTACTAGTGACTAGGTCAGAGGGAGGATCATCTGCTTCCGGACCATGGTCGACCACGGGGAACTGAAACCACGGAAAGCAAAACCGTGGAGAAGGGGAGACTGTTGTGGTACACAGGGGCAGAAATAGCCTCAAAGAATCATAAAAGCACATGCCTCAGACTAGGCACTAGTGTGAAATGGAGGGGGGGGGCTGGCTTTTCCTTATTAGCCCCCTTTCTGTCTTCTTATCCCTTCCTGAAGTTTCCAGTGTCCTTCTCCCATCAAATTAAAATTTAAGCCTATGGAAGAATCTGAAACTCATTGCCACTGAGGCATAAATGACTGACAACAACTTAGAGCTTTACTTCTCCCCAAGGGGATTTGTCTTTTAATGGAGAGCAAAGCATTAAGCTAGGGGATGCAAATGATATTTATGAAACAGAAGGGAAAAGGGAGCATGTGCAGGCTTTCCTGAGGATCCAGCTCTATAGCAGGAGGCGGTGTAGTGTTGTTACCTGGTATCGTGGTGCTGGATCTGGAGTCAGACAGAGCTGGAGTCAAATCTCCTTACTGCCATGTAATAGCTAGGTGACCTTGGGCAAGTGACGTAACCACTGAGTCTCTAGATCGCTGAGAAATAATAGCTCTGGTGTAGGGTTATTGTAGGCATTTAAGTGAGTTAATGAACGCCTGGC